AGGGCAGTAATGAAAACCAGAAGTTTTAGGAAAGCAGAGGGAAGGCCAACTGGGACTGCCCATCTCTATGTGCCTGTCTCTGATCCAACACTTCCTCCCAGGCCTGGGAAGAGCCATGGGGCCGTTCTGTGGATGGAATACCACCTGACACCGGACAGCACAGTCAGCACTGGCCTCCTGGAGCCTGTGGAAGACAAGGTAATACACTGGGACTATTTTGTGCTGATTCCAAAGCAGGTACAGCCTGCCTGTGCTCTGTGTATTCCTGTCCTGTGTCCTTCAGGCCACAAGATGACTTTTGTGACCTAGGGTCACTTGGCCCAACACTGGACAGGAAGTGACACAGATGCCAGGAACTCTTACCAGTCTTCTTGATGCTTGTCCTACAGGGGGACTGTTGCTGGAACCCCCATTGCAAGCAGGCCGTGTACTTCCTTAGCACCACCCTGGATCCTAGAGTGCCGCTGGATGGCCCTCAGACAGTCAGCTATGCGGTGGAGTTTCACCCTCACACTGGAGATGTCACCATGGAGTTCAGGCTCACTCACACTCTGGTCTGACACCCCCAATCCTCGAATTGAGAAATAAAGGCTATGGGCTCTGAATGGGTTGTGGCTAACTAGGGAGACAAGCCAAGGCAGTTTTCTCCTTCCAGGGACCTGCTTGGCCTCTGCACAGAAGAATCCTCTTCTGTCTTTACGTTTTTTACACTGCTGGCTTCTACTTCTAGGTGTGACAGACAGTGTGGCCTATGACTGATTTGGAGCTCTGGAGGGACCAGGGTGACCCCTCTGCTTGTGGTTCTGAGGGTTTGGAAGACTCTAGGTAGTGATACCCACTACTGTACCATTAAGGGAACAGAGGCATAGTCCCAGCTGGGGTGGGGACGGGCTGCTTGCTTAGCTGGGCAGTGCAGCTATCACTGCATGCATGCCTGGCCTGGCTATCTTTTTTTTTTTGGTACCTGTCCTGGGGCTTGAACTCAGGGGCATGGGCACTGTCTCTGAGCTTTGTTGTTCAAGGCTTGTCTACCATTTGAGCCATGGCTCCACTTGTGGCTTTTTGGTGGTTAATTGAAGATAAGTCTCTTGGATTTTGTTGCCTTGGCTGGCTTTGAACTGTGATCCTCAGATCTCAGCCTCCTGAGTAGCTAGGATTATGGGTGGCCTGTCTACGTTCTAGGAAATTCCAGAATCCTGGCATTTGAAAATCCTAGTGGCTGAAAGGACTAGGTTTTGGCCCTTCCTCTGCTAGTACCTTCACTAAGCCATGTTCATTGCACCTGAACATCTGGTCTTAATGCACATCAATAGGTGGCCTGCCATGCTCCAAGAGCTGTGCACAGGCCAGGTTAGAGGTCATCCGAAAGCACTTTTGTGTGTGTGTGCTGGTCCTGGGGCTTGAACTCAGGGCCTGGGTGCTATCCTTGAGCTTTATTTGCTCAAGGCTAGGACTCTATCACTTGAACCACAGCACCACTTCTAGTTTTCGGGTCATTAATTGGAGATAAGAGTCTCATAGACTTTCCTGCCTGGGCTGGCTTCAAACCACAACATTCAGATCTCAGCCATCTAAGGACCTAGGATTACAGGCATGAACCACTGGTGCCCTGCATCCCAGAGCAGTTCTTGGGGTATAGCCCTGGGAAACTAGCCATTAGGAAGGGATCCAGAGGGCATAGCCCTTTCCTGTGTGCCCCCTCCGAAGTCTTGCCAATATAGTGCTGGCCTTGGTTTTTTTTTTTTTTTCTTTTGTGGTCGTGGGGCTTGAACTCCAGGCCTGAGTGCTGTCCCTCAGCTCTTCAACTCAAGGAGAGCGCTCTACCACTTGAGCTACAGCGCCACTTCCAATGTGCTGGCCTTGCTTTAGCAAGGACAGCTTGAAATTGGTGATTTGGCCACAGCCTTATTTCTCCCACGTACTCAGATGTGCTTTTACTACTGACCTTCCAGGTCTCAAGATAGGGGAGATACCCAGTAAACACCCAGATGGAAATGGGCACAAGTGGCTTAAGCCTGTAATCCTAGCCACTTGGGAAGCTGAGATTGGAAGGCTTGAAGTTTGAGGCCCACTTAAGGCATAAAAGTTTATGAGACTCCTTCTCAACCAATAGCTGAGCATAGTGTTGTACACTGTCACTCTAGCTATGAGGGAGGCTGCATTTGGGATGCTTACAGTTCCAGTCCAGCCAAGTCAGAAAAGTTTGTGAGGTAGAAGAAGCTGGACATCGTGACACATCTATCATCCCATCAGCAGCATTAGAAAAAAATAGGATTGAAGTCCATCCATGTGCCTGGGCAGGAAATTGGGCCTTATCTCCGAAATAAACAGCACAAAAAAGGGCTGGAACAGTAAAAAACTTTCCTAGTAAGTGTGAGGCCCCGATGTTAAACCACTGGAGGAGGGGCTAGATGGCAGCCTTTGTATTTTGTATTTTGGGGCAGCCTTTGTTATTTGCCCCCACAGTCACGTATTACCTCTTGAAGCTGTCCAGCCTCTGGGTCTAGATTCAGCAGGGCCCTCCCCAGCTTGTCGCTCAAATAAGTAGAGAATGTCAGCCTTGAGCCTCACAGTTTTATTTTCTCCTCATTCTCCATCCTTCCTTTCAGCACCATAAAGGAAAAATCCACCTCTCTTCAAAATTTTTTTATCAGGTGTGAAGATTATTTTCAGGTGGGATGAGTCGTCTGGATATATAGTTGATGGTTTTTTACCAAAACCTTAGGTGTCTTACCATATAAAACCCCTAATGTCCCATGAAGATACAATACAGAAGAAAATACAGAAATTAAAAAAGTGTTTTTTTCTTTTTTTAAAACAGTATTTCTAAATCTCAGCAAGTTAATACAATATTAAAAAGCCTCAAGATTAATATCCATACTTAAAACTCAAGGTGGCTTTGGACAAATGAACAATTCCTTCCTAAGCTAACCCCACCTGCCTGAGGCTTCCCTTGTGGGCCCAGGGCAGGCCAAAGCCTGGGTTTGGGATCTGGGTGGCCCCTGTAACTGTCCCCTCCCAGGTTTAGATGCCATAGAATCTGAGATCCTGGCAATGTCTTTTTTTTTCCTCCTCTTCCTTAAAAAATTGAAAAGCCTGGCTATATGCCCTGGGAATTCACAGGAAACCATGGTAAAATATGTGGTGGGCTGAAGGAGTTGGGGGCGCTGGGAGGCAGGACATCCCTCCTCTATTCCAGGACCTGACTGGCAGAGGCCACCTTGTGATGACAGGAAATGACTGAGGCACAGGGCAGTATGACTTGCCTAAGGCTGCCTTGGGAACTTGGAGGGAAAGGATCATATTGCCTTGACTCTACATGGAGCTCTCCCCTGCAGGGCCCCTGGCCTTGGCCTTGGCTACTCTTCCTGTGTGTACAGCAGCATAGGTCTAGGGGTTGGGCCTGCCCACTTGAACCCTAGGTATGAACAGAACCCTGGCTGTTTTCACAAGTGGAGGACCTTCTACCCCATGAAGCATTGTCAGGACCCTGGAAGGCCAGGCCCTTGTGGAAGAGGAGAACAAGAGAGAGCCCAGCAGGGCTGCCTTTGCTGTGAGCAGTCCCTTCCTGGCTCTGGACACTGGCATGAGCAGGTTTCAGACAAACCAGAGTAGGGATGTACATCCTAGTGCCAAGCTGCAGGCTCTGCAGGGTTTTTACCCCAGCAGAGGGCCTTGCAGCTGGTTGATTGCAGACCCCCTCTTAATCCCTCTTTCTGCTAAGTGGGTGACAAGGCACAGCTTCAGTGCACCAGCACCAAAAGGTCCGGACAGCAGAGTCCTGGTGCTCCTTCCAGCATTGACAGGCATGGTGGATGCAAGGGCAGGTCACTTTGAGACCAGTAGAGTTGTCAAAAACAGTCTTTCAAGTTGGAGCCTGGCACCTTGAACCAGACCTTCCCCTTGTGGCTGGGGAACATGCCCACCTCAGAAGGCAGGTGGGCAGAGGCAGTGCTGCCTGGTGCCTTTGCCCCAGGCTTGGGGCAGATGGAGGACCTTGGGCTGCTGGCCAGTCTGCCCTGTTGAGCCTAGGGCTGACCCTGGCCACACAGTAGCAGAGTGGCTTCTATGGGCCTGGATGCCACATAGTACCACCCCTTGCTGTGGACAAGCAGTAGCTATCAGCTAGGAAATCCCCAGCCTGCACGTTGGTGAGGGACAGGTCACTATTCACCCCTTGGCTTTCTGTTCCTTCCTCCAAAGTCACCTCCTAGAACATGGCATTGGCTGGGGTAGCTGTTGAGGAGGGCAGGCCCTTAAGGCTAGAGCTGCAGCCCTACCTGGGGATAGACAGGCAGATCCTGAGCTCAGCCAACACTTGGATGGGGAAAGTCTCTAGGAAAAGATTGGTCCTGAACCAGAGGTGTCCGTAGGGGAATAAGGGGCTCGGTAGAAAGACAGGACATGTTGGCTTGGATATAAGAAGCTACAAATCTGTCATTTTCAAAGTAAGGATGCCCTTCCCCTTTATGCTGTGAGTTTTCTATAGAAAAATCATGCTCTAGGGCTTCCCATTATGACTCCACAGCAGGGGTCAGTCTCCCAAATTGCTGCTGGGGCAGCTGGAGCCAGCCAGACCCTGGTGTGGGGGCCGGGGAAGGGATCCTGACTTGGAAAAAGCAAAGTTCTATCTAATAACTTGCAGACCCTTTAAAGTGAAGGGTAATTTTTTTTTTAAATCTTTTTCTGTTTTCTTTTTAAAATGTAATCGCCCTTGAATGCAAGACCCTGGGAAGAGCCCTGGGCTGGCTGGTAATGGCAGCCCTCACATCCCCAGTGTGCAGTCCTGGCTGGAGGTGGAGAGCTGGTAGCCGTGCCCAGGAAGTGCTTCTTTGGCTGGTTCTGATTGTGTTTGGAGTTTGGCCTTGGGTGAGGCCCGAGCAAGGGGTCTGGGTGGCTACAGTGTGGCACGTGGCATGCGGGCAGTGTGCATGCGAGGGTGCAGGCATGCGAGACAACACTGGCAGCAGACAAAAGTAATGAACCCTGGACGAAGCTTGAGAAGAAATACAAAGAGTACATAAACCCGGTCCTCATAACTAACGCTCGGGTTACAAACTAGGTTGTGCTGTGTAGATCTGTAGAAAATTGTGTTTGGAAAGAATGGCACTGGTTAGGCAGCCAGGGGCTCCCAGGCCAGCCTGAGTCCCGGGAGATGGCCCTCAGAGAGGGCCCAGAGGCGCTGAGCTCCCTGGGGATTGACTGAGGCTCCCTCCCTGCCCCTTCCCCTCCTCCTTCCAGCACTGCTGCTGGGTAGAGGGTATGCAGCCCAGGGATGGGCTGTACTTTGAAGGTTAGCAGAGGCCCCCCTGCTCCGGATGCCGGTGGCTTGGCTGATTTACACCTCTTCCTCTCCTGCAGACACCATCAGCCGCATAGCCACTGGGAGATGGTCCGTCAGGCCAGAGAGCTGGGTGATAAAACTGAATTCTTCCACCTCCTGTGGGGGAAGGGGGGGGGAGGTTTCTGATTAGACCTAAAGGGTGTTCTCCCAAAGGAGGGTCTGGGGAGTAGGAGATGGCAATGCAGTATGAGGGTTCCAGATACAGAGGACCCAGAGTCTCAGTTCTGGAGAATAATAGCTTTCATATTAAAGGAGCAAAGATTGGAGGTTAGGGTCCAAAGAGAACCTCAGTGCTGTTGAGGGTGTCAGGGCCCATCCCCAGACTCACAGCTTTCCAATCCGGGCACAGGCCTTCCTCAGCATGCAGCATGTAGTCAATTCGCCGGCCATTGCCCTTCAGCAGGTCCTTTCTCCCTTTCTGTCCGGCCCCCGGGCTCTTGCTGGTGGGGAAGGCCAGGTATTCCCTGCGGCCTTCTTCGCTCTCCAGGACCCTGTCATTGAGGCATGAAGCAAAGTGAGCCCCATGCCAACCCTGGGCCCAACAGTCCTCAATGAGGAGCCATGGTCTCTTCACACAGTGAGAGGGGAGTGGGTCTGGCCATCTTTCTTCCCCCTTACTCCACAAAGGGCCTGGGCTGAAGGGAAGTTAAGTCTTCCAGTGCCTGGCTGAGCAAGGGATCCTCTAAGGTCTGTTTGGGTTCTTGTATCTTCCTCAGGCGGTCAGCCCTCGCTTTTCCTTTCAGAATTTGGACACTGGTCATGGAACAATGCTGGCTGTGGCTGGGTTCAGGATGCCACTGTACCCTTTTTCCCAAAGGGGCTTTTGAGCCAGTAGAGGCATGTTTGAGAGAATTTGGTCTTTGTCATGAGCTTAAGGGACCAGTTGCTCCTGAAATCTCTTACCCCCTATACCCTGCCTCATAATTGTGAAGCTTGGCAAGGGGCTGAAGGAGCCAGGAGAATACCCAGGCCCCATAGGAGAGCAGAACTTCTGTGGGTCTGTCTCTAGGCAATAGTATGACCCAGCATGTACCAAAGCTTTAAGTCTCTACTTCCTCCTCTGAAATGGGTAGTTGCTGTGGATGGGTACCAGTGGCTCATCCCTGTAACCTACTACTGAGGAGGCTGAGATCTGAGGATCAGAGTTTGAAGCCAGCCCAGACAGGAAAGCCCAGAAGATTCTAACCCCCAATTAATCACAAAAGAAATAAATCAGAAGTGGAGCTTGTGGCTCAGGTGGTAAGAGTACCAGTAAAAAATCTAAGGGAATACCTAGGTCCTGAGTTCAAGCCTCAGAACCAGCACACATACACAAAAAAATGTGGTTTCTGTGGGCACCAAGATGCTTCAGGGAATTGACTGTTAACTCCAGTTCTTAGACGAAACCTGTGTGCTTAAATGCCCTTCTTGGTGGATAGGGAAGGCAGACTCAGGCAGGGCCTGTTAGCCTCTTCATTTTGGTTCTTCTGTTTTCCTTTCTGGTATCACTGCCCTGAAACAGCAGAGTACCTGTCTCCATTCTGCCTGCCTTTCCCCTGAAACCCAAGCACCCCAGGAAGGTGATTTAGGATTTCTCTCTTCCCCTGCATTGGGAGGCCAAGCTTAGGTGATGGGCTGGTGGTGTTGGGAGGCACTACTCAAGCCTCCAGATGCCTGAACAAAATTCTCAAGACTGGAAAGACCAAGCTGGTAAACATGAGTTCCTACAAGTTGTTGGTTTTTTGTTTTTAAATCAGTCTTAAGATAAATATATTAACGGCATTCAGAGCATTGTTATGTCTGAGAGATATAATCCATTACTGTCTTTTGCCTTTGATAATTCTAGCATCAATGATCTGAATTACTGAGAGTCATTTTTAATCATCTCATGAAAAGATAATTTTCTCAGCACAGAATGATGTTTCACATTTATTCTGTAGTCTAATTAATTGGATTAAATTAGCTGCAAGAATCCATGGTCATGGGTCTGTGCAGTCTCAGGCTGTGGATATATAATCAAGTCTGCTGCTGGCCTCAACTGTGTCCTTGAGCCTCATTGTGTCCACAGCCTCCAATGTGTCCCCTTGAGCCTCATTGGATCAAGAATGAAGTTTGGAGCCGGGCGCCGGTGGCTCACGCCTTTAATCCTAGCTACTCAGGAGGCTGAGATCTGAGGATCGTGGTTCAAAGCCAGCATGGGCAAGAAAGTCCGTGAAACCACCAATAAACCACCAGAAAACCGGAAGTGGCGCTGTGGCTCAAGCAGTAGAGCACTCGCCTTGAGCTGAAGAGTGCAGGGACAGCGCCCAGGCCCAGAGTTCAAGCCCCATGACAGACAAAAAAAAGAATGAAATTTGGCTAGGGCAGACATCTTACCCAGTGACTCTGCTACAGAGTGTGGCCTTTGCTTGGCCCTAAGAGGATTGGGTTCCTTTTTCAGAACCTGCAAGTTAGACCACAACTGGAGTAGGGAGAGCCTTTGAACATAGTCCTGACTGGCTGCTGGTTTAGGAAATGGCTCTTCTAGACCCCATAAGGCTCTGAGATTTTTCAGCAAGACCAGCTCTAATGTGTAAAGGCCAGAACAGCATCCATCCACCTGCCACTAGGCTTCCTGCTGGAGACCACAGAGTTGTCAAAGGCAGATGAGAGGCAGGTTCCCACCAAACTGAAGCCCTTACTAGCATGAATGAGCTAGTTCTGCCCAGCCCCCATCCCTCGCCACCAGAGTCTTTGGGTCTCCTCTAGACCCGAGAATCATCAGCACTCACTTTTGTAGATTGTCGGGGGTGCACACATCCTCATCATACAGGCCATTTGTGTCCAGCAGGGTACCTGGGGCAAGGGAGAGAGTGATGAGCACAGGCAAGGGCCAGCCAGCCTTGAGAAGGTAGCCTTTCTTGGGTGAGGCATGCCAGGAGCCCCAGGAAACTGACTAGAGCCCACCCTTGATAGTAGGGCCTTGGGCCCCAGTCCTGGTAATCTGTAACTTCAGAAGCATGAGGAGCACCCAACTCCTCCCATCCCTGCTCACCAATGGCCCATGGCTTCTCCTCCCCAGGCCCCAGGCGGCAGGGGTCCTTGTAGCGTGTAAACAGGGAATGCTGCTGCTCCAGCTTGTCATCTGTACAGGAGGAAGAGGAAGGAAATGCTTCTGGATATCTTCATTCCCAGAGGCCTGCTTCCTAGCAGCTACTCCTCGGAGATGGCACAGGGTCCCTGTCTCATAGGTAGCCACCTCTCAGAGGTCTCATGCATCACTTTATGTCCCCCAACAGAACAATCCAAGGACAGTGGTCCCTATCCCTCTTGGGCTTCAGGGACAGCCACCTCAAGGCCTTCCAAGTCAATGGTGGAAGACTGGCTGATACTTCGTGGGCCAGACTTCTGTCCTCTTCACAGATTTGGGTGCCTTGCCTTGAGGGAAGAGTGGACCCCACAAGGCTCAGCAAGGTGGGAGACCTGCACAGGGTTCTTGTTTGTCTTGTCAACACTGAGCCAGAAAGCACTTCTCTGAGTCCTCGGAGGGAAGGGCACTGAGCTTGGCCTGTCTGGTGGATCCTCCTCCCAACAGCTTCTTCTTGTGTGTGCTGACTTAGGACCCCAGGAGCTCCCATCATGAGGCGTCAGCATCAGGAGTGTGACGATGATGGGATCTTAGGGTCCTGGCTGAGGCAGAAGCTGGTGCATTAAGGTGACAGCCTCACGTTCCACATGGCTTCAGTGGAAGGTAATTTCCTATATTGCAGGACTTTTGTTGACTGTTTTCCTTGCTTACCCTGTTATCAGGATGTGTTTCTCTGACAAAGAACAGGTTAAAATAGCTGTCACTGGATGCTACTACTTGAGAGCACCTTGCTGAGACAGACCCACATCCCACCCCATCCTCAGCCTCCTTTGGGAACTATAGCTGGAATCAATAAAGCTTCAAGGCCAAGGAATATTCAGAACCACCAAAACAACAGAAGATACCTTATAAGATCAGTTACTTAAACCAATCATTTACAGTCTCACTGAATGAACTTTAACTTTTAGCTTGATGGTTTAGGCAGGTTTCCCAGATTCGCAGGGTTCAAATTCTAGTTCAGCTGCTTACTGGCTGTGTGACCTTGGGCTCACTGTGTCCCCGCTTCTCTCCACAGTGTGGAGAAATAGTGCCTACTTCTTCAGGTTGTTGGGAGACTTAAACAGCAGTTGGCCTCATGCCTGGTAAAAGTAAGGGCTGAATAAACGCATCATGAGAATTGCTAGCTGACTGTCCCTCCATCTCAGTTTCAGAGGTCACAGGTCTGCCTGGTGCAAGTTTGTTTTAGGGGATCACTTTGTCTCTAGCAGATGCTGCTGAGCTTTTGAGGTAGAGCGTGGGCTCTTCTGTTCTGTGGCTTCTGGGGGGCAGAGACATCACAGTCTTGCTAAATTTCCCACCCACACTCTCATAAAGAGCAGGAAGTTCTGTGAGTTGCTAACCACAGGCTTTCTGACTGTGCCTGGAACCCTCCTTCCTGCCCAGAGCAACACACCCAAGGGGAGGAGCACGGCCTCACCAGAGGAGCAATTGTCGAAGTTCAGATCCCCGCAGATGACATCAAACGCCACCAGCTCCTCTGGGTTGGCTGTGCTGGACGAGGAGGTAGATTTTCGGAAATCAGCCAGCCAGTCCTGAAGCAGGTCCAGCTGCTCACACCGGATGGCACTGTCTTCTGCAGAGCGGATGGAAAACGGACAGTGAAGCTCACCCAGTTCCCTGGCCAAGTTCCTGACGCTGATCCCACTCCCAAAGCACCTTGGGCTGGTGACGTACCTGGCGGGGCATGCAGATGTGTGCAGGCGATGTAGCCGACAATTCTTTGGTCCTGAGGTGTGCTTCCCACCTGCACCTGGGGTCAGGGAGACAAGGTGTTGGTCATTGTTGCTTTGAGTGCCAAAGGACCCTACTGATGTCCACTGGCCTTTTGGGTCAAAACTTCACAAGAGCTGCTCTGTGGTACATGCCTAGCTAGACTCCGGGACCTATGTAAGGACAGGACACATCCTGCTTCTGGGAATTTTCAGTCCAATTCAGGAGGCCAGTACATAAAGAAGCAACATCAAGCCAGGCGCTGTGCCGGTTGGCTCATGCCTGTAATCCTAGTTACTCAGGAGGCTGAGAGCTGAGGATCATGGTTCAAAGCCAGCAGGAAAGTCTGTGAGACTATTTATCTCCAATAAACCACCAGAAAACTGGAAGTGGCTATGTGGCTCAATTGGTAGAGCGCTTGAGGGGCAGAGTTCAAGCCCCAGGACCAGTTTAAAAAAAAAAATGTAACATCAGCCTTTGGTATAGTATAGGGCTTTAAGGGGAAAATACAGAAACCACAGTTGAGTTTTTCCCTAGTTCCTGCCATCTACTGGTAACTATACTGTTTACCTATGGAACTTCTTCACCTGTTGGCTTTTCTTCCCTAGCTACAACCTAGTCTGATCTGACCCTGTTGCTCCTTCCCTCTGAAACCAAGGTTGGATGGACCTACCCATGTAGACCCAGCCTCAAAGCCTAGGCCTCCATCCTGAGCCTGGGGTCAGAGGCCTGAGACCCTATCATCTTCCTGCTATCCCCATTATCTGCTCCTTTTAGCTGCATGGTAAGTTGTTCCATCTATTTTGTAAGCTGTGATCCCCTGGCCTCATCCTGAGACCAGTCCTCCTTCCTCCATAGCTCCACTCTCCCTGGACCTCTGTCCTTACCTCCATGGCTCACCTCCTTCATGAAGGATGGACCCACCAGGTTCAATCTACCCCACTCACTCTGCAGATGACTGCTGTCCCAATGCTGGCTTAATAAAAATGGACATCTCAACTTCAGAAAGACAACTCCAAGCTGCCCCATTGAATGTGGTAACCATGCCACACTTGGCCCTTGTCAGTGCCATGGTGGGAAAGTGAGGATGGTCACAGAGCGAGAAGGCCTTCTTCCCCACCTGATGAATCTCCTGGCCCTCTTGACAATGATCTTTACCTGCATGTCCCTCAGGGTCATTTTGGACCTGTCCCCAGGGATACTTCTCAGCTCCTAGACTGCCCTTGTGAACTGTCCTCCCTGGACTGCACAGTTCCATTCAGATGGATTTTCTGGGATGATGAGACTGGATGTTGGGGGTGAGGAGGTGGGGTAAGGGTGGACTGGAAAGGACAAGCTTCCTGCTCCAGCCATTGGCTGAGGGTGTAGTGACCATGCCTCAGTTAGTGGCATACCTTGCCTCTTGCTGCCAAAGTCTGGTGGGTCTTCTTTCCCATCTGACTTTCTCAGCAAAAACTCCTGGCTTTTAACAGCTCTTCACCTCTCTCCCCAACTGGATGGCCAAATCCTGTCCCCAGGTCCCGCAGGACAAGTGTGTGTGTGTGTGTCTGTCTGTCTGTCTGTCTGTCTGTGTGTGTGTCTGTCTGTGTGTGTCTGTGTGTGTGTGTCTGTGTGTGTGTGTCTGTGTGTGTGTCTGTGTGTGTGTCTGTGTGTGTGTCTGTGTGTGTGTGTCTGTGTATGTGTGTGTTTTCCTGGGGTTGGCAGGACAAGCCGTGTGTGTGTCTGTGTGTATGTGTGTGTGTTTCCCTGGGGTTGGCAGGACAAGCCGTGTTTGTGTGTGTCTGTGTGTCTGTGTGTGTGTGTGTTGGGGTTGGAACTCAAGGCCTGGGTGCTGTACCTGAGCTTTTGCTCAAGGTGAGTGCTCTACCACTTGAGCCATGGCTCCACTTCTGGCTTATTTTAAATAGTTTATTTAAGATGAAGAATCTCAGGTTTGCCTGTCAGGGCTGCTGTGAACCATGGACCTCCCAGATCTCAGCCTTATGAGTAGCTAAGATTACCGTCTGAGTCACTGGTATTCATAGTAGGGCTATTTGTTGTTATTGGTTGTGGGGCTTGAACTCTGGGCCTGGGCGCAGTCCCTCAGCATTTCAGCTTAAGGCGAGCCCTCTACCACTTGAGCTACAGCACCACTTCTGGTTTTCTAGAGGTTTATTGGAGATAAGAGTCTCACGGGAGCCAGGTGCTGGTGGCTTATGCCTGTAATCCTAGCTACTCAGGAGTCTGAGATCTGAGGATCACGATTCAAAGCCAGCCTGGGAAGGAAAGTCCATGAAACTTATCTCCAATTAACTAGAAAACGAAGTGGTGCTGTGGTTCAAGCAGTAGAGTGCTCGCCTTGAGTTGAAGAGTGCAGGGACAGTGCCCAAACCCAGAGTTTAAGCTCCAGGACTGACAAAAGAAAAAAAGGTCTCACAGACTTTCCTGCTTGGGCTGGGCTGCCTTTGAACCATGATCCTCAGATCTCAGCCTCCTGAGTAGCTAGGAGTACAGGAGTGAGCCACTGGGGCTCGGCTTATATAACTATTTTTAAACCCACATGCTGACTGTCTACTTTCTGCCTATATTCCAGACCCAAACTGCCCCCCAACAGCACCTCTACCCTGTAGCTCTGCCAGCCTGGTGCCATTGACAGATCCCACTGCAGAAACAAAAGCACTGCTCAAAAGGGTCACACGATGGCACTGTGGTCCCTGCATTCCTCAGGCAACGAGCGAGCACTCCGGCATAGCACTTCTCCACACCGAGGGCAAGAAGGACACTAAAAACCTGCCATTTTAATAGATGGAGACATCGATGCTCAGGGAAGCTAAGTCATTGGCCACAAGGCTCAGATGGGAAAGGCAGATCAGATCTGAGCCAATAGTGTTTTGGTGAGCTTTCTTACAGCCTACCATTTGTTGGTTTTAATGTGTCAGCCTTTTCCTCTCTTAACACTTAGTGTTTGTTACGTGCACTGTACTGAGTCCCAGATAGGGATAAGAGATATGTGCTTGGAAGTGGCACTGTGGCTTAAGTGGTAGAGCACTCACCTTGAGCTGAAGAGCTCAAGGACAGTGCCAAGCCCTACGACCACCACCACCAACAACAACAAAAAAGTGCAAGGGACTGTGGCTTAGTGGTAGAGTGCTTACCCGGCATGCATGAAACCCTGGGTTCAATTTCTCAGTACCATATAAACAGGAAAAAAAAAGGCGGAAGTTGCACTGTGGCTCAAGTGGTAGAGTGCTAGCCTTGAGAGAGAGAAAAAAAGCTCAGGGACAGTGCCCAGGCCCTGAGTTCAAGCCCCAGGACTGGCAAAAAAAAAAAGATGTGCAGCAGGGTGCTGGTGGCTCACACCTGTAGTAGTCCTAGCTACTCAGGGAAGCTAAGATCTGAGGATAGTGGTTTGAAGCCAGCCCTGGAAGAAAAGTCCCCGTGAGACTTATCTGCAATTAACCACCAGAAAACTGCAAGTGAGGGGCTGGGAAGGTAGCTCAGTGGTAGAGCCTTGCCTTGCATGCATGAGGCCCTGGATTCGATTCCTCAGCACCACATAAGCAAAAAAAGGAAAAAAGCCGGAAGTGGCGCTGTGGTTCAAGTGGTAGAGTGCTAGCCTTGAGCTGAAGAGCAGAGGACAGGGCCCAGGCCCAGAGTTCAGGCCCCATGACCGGACCCCAAAAAAGAAGAAAGAAAAGAAAAAGAAAGAAAGAAAACTGCAAGTGGAGTTGCTCACGTGGTAGAGTGGTAGGTAACCTTGAGCACAAAAAGGCTTAGGGACAGCGCCCAGGCCCTCAGTTCAAACCCCACAACTGACGGAGAAAAAAAAAAGTCCTACTCATCCCTGCTGCTGCTGGGAAAGCCAGATCACAGCAGCACGGCACAGCTGTAATCACGCACCCGCCTCTCCCTCAAATAGTGTGTGAGCCTGCCAGGACCCACTTTATTATTTGCTAGGCTTATTGATCCCTGGTTCATGTGGGGAGCCACAGTCTTGTGTGTTTCTCTTGCAAAAACAAACAATTACACTGAGAGGTGGTGCCTTTTAGTCCTGGTGGGCTGACCGTCAATACAAAAGGTGTTTGGAATTAAGCTCCGTTTTACTGCCCCTTCCTTTGTAGAGACTTGGATTTCCCCAAAGAATCTATAGTATCATGGAGTAAACCAGGAAGGCAAAGAAGGCCCCCATGGCAGAGGTGTTGGGGGAAAGGACCTTGATAGGACCTTTCCTGTGTCCCCAGCTCTTCTCCAGGTAGACCAGACCCTTTGAAGCTGCATTGATTTCAGTCCTCCACAGCAGGAAGACAGCCATGCTCTGGGCCAACAGAAGTGCTGTGGGTACTGCGGGGCCAGGCTTTATAGTGCAGTGTCTGATGTGACAATCAGCCTGGCAGAGTAGTAAGGCCTCCATGCTGGGAGAACTGGGTTATGCTCCGCACAACCAAGACCCTTGACAGTGGTATGGCTGGGGCAGAGGATAACTTGTGGGGAGGGGTTGAGGCAGAAGTTGGGCTTCTCCTGAAGCAGTGGAGGAGGAAAGTTGCCATTGGAAGGCATCAGGCAACCAGACATTGGACTGACAGAGGAATGGAGCCTAGGCCAAAGTGGTGGAGCTGGAGGCAAGGCAGAGCCAGGGCATTGGAAAATGAACGGAAGAGCCTGGAACGGACAGGAGGCACAAGCAGCAGCCTCCGTGGCTCTGTCTGGCATGGGGGGGGTGGAGCCTGAGAGAGGCTAGTCAAGGAGTTTGGTTTGAGAAGAGCTGGATGTGTTCAGGAGATGATCAGATGGAGGGCTAGGGCTCTGGAAATATGGGCTGGAACAAAGGTCATTAGCAAGGGCAGAAGTAAAGCCTATTGGGTCACACTCCCAAGGTGCAGGGTTTTGTGTGAGGGTCCCAGTCTCCAGCAGCGGTGGCATGTGTGGCAGGCTGGTGCTGCCAGGCTTGCCACGGTGTTAAGTTCTAAAACCTAGTTTTTCCCCTTACAATGTCTCGGGTAGAATTTACAGCCTTACACGTGTTAGGTAAGTGCTCTACCACATCTCTAACCTCACTACTCTCCCCTCCACCCCCCAAAAAATAAAAGTCTTGGCATGATCCAAATTAAACAAATTTGCAGACAAGTTTGAGATCCAGAAGGTAGAAGAGGGTAACAGAGCATTCAGGACAGAGCCACAGTGTCCCCAAGGACACTGTTGTTGACCCTGGAGCTGTGGTCAGGGTCCCGGCTAAAGGAGGGATTGGCCTGCATAGCACAAGATTGATGGGTAGTGGGGTCTCCCATCTTGGTGCCTTCCATAATAGGGCAAAGGTGACAGGGTACCCCTCCCACTTTGAGCCTGACAACATATTCCTTTCTTCTGCAGAAAGTCACTCTGACTGCTGAGACAAAAATATACCCACAGAACAGAACACCAACGAACCATATGCCAGAATAGGAAGGCTGGATCTATCTGATGGAAGAGTTGGTTCAATTTCAGCTGTGAATGGAAAGCCAGAGAGACCCCGATTCTAGCCTGTCAGAGCCATACAAGACACATTGAACCTTCCTGAGGAGTTTGCCAAGGTCCACAGAGGTCCACCCTGGCTGTAACTTGCTCTATGGAGACAGTCTACCTTCACTTATTCCTGGCTCCCACACCAACATTTTCCTGGACAGGCTGAGCACAGTGGCTTCAGAAAGGGAACTGAGGAGTCAGGGGAGGCCGCCCTGGGCATCTGAGCCCCAGCTTTCCTAGTAAGCACTCACTTTGTTATTTCTCACCTTAAAATAACAGAACCCATCCCCATATCAGCTACTGCCGGGGAGGGGGAGGGAGGCAGAGGAGGCAAAAAACCTTGCTCTGCATCAGGTGGCCAAATAATGCTTCAGAAAACTCTGGAAGCACCAGCAATGGCTTTTGGATAGAGAACAAAAAGTTGACATCAAAGTGTCTCAAACTCAATGGAAGATAATGCGTAATGACCAAATTGCCATGGTCTAAAAACTCCTCCAATTGCAGCCAAATTAGCAGAAATAATTATGACTCACTTTAATTAGTGACTATGGAAGTGAAGCCATGGGCTGGTGGGCAGAGAGCCTGGCATGCAGCTGCTGATAGCCAGGGGGAAGGGGCTGCTGGTGGCCCGAAGAACTAGTTGTGCTCATCGGCGAGAGGTCTGTCTGCCAGTCTGCACTCTAGTTGCCTTGTGTGAATGGAGATAGGGCCCAATTCCTCTTCCCCCCTATCTCCACCACCATCATCATGGCTAGCAGCTATCATCACTACACCCACTATGCGGGCAGAAGCTTGGACCTCCTTCTGGGTTTTGCTGTGCTGATTCACTCCCACCTTGCTTGCTCCCGTTTTACAGATGGGAAGATGGCAGCTCAGATCTGAGGTGGTCTGAGGAGTGGGTTCAGATCACTCACTAAGTCTGGAACCATGGCCTTTGACCCTATGCCTGTATGTTTCCCTTGTTCCTGAGCTGGGGAATCCTCTGGTCTAGCTTCATCGAAACCCTTTTCTGCCTTCCATTTTAACACCCCCCCACACACACACACACATGTGGCTTGGGTACCAGTTAGGATGTAGGTTTGGCCAAGGGCTCTTACCTTGAGAAACAGAGCTCCCTTAGAGGCCAGGGCATCGAAGCTGCACCCATTGGGGTAACAGTGATAGGCCACGTCCATGACGGGGTAGCGGCTGGCAAAGAAGAGGCCACTGTTGAGACACTTGAAATTGCAGCAGCCATGACAGGCGTAGACCCCTACATCATACAGGATGTACTCGAAGTAGCCATGCAGCTGGTCTTTCAACTTAGCCGCTGCCCGCTTGTCAAACACTTCCTGCAGGCACAGGAAGTCTAGGTTGGCAGGGAAGAAGGCCGAGACCTCATGGTCGAAGGCCTCGTCGGGATGCCGTCTCCTGCGCGCCGCCTTCTTCACCATCGAGGCCTTGTACAGGAGCTTGCTGTTGGCACCTGTATCCCCGCCGCCGCCGCTGCCGCTGCCACTATCTGGCCCAGCTCGTGCCTTCACCAGGGACTCCCTGGAGGCGGAGGGGCTGCCCAGGCTCCCCGAATCCCCATCATGTTGATTGTGGTTGGGTGTCTGACCCTTCGGGCCTCCAGTGGCCCCATTCCTGGCTTGGTTCCCAGTGGCAGAGTCATCGGCTTCTGGCGGCCGGCCTCCCTCCTCACTCCCAATGCGCACTATGCAGGCATCCTCAAGGCTGCCGCCATCAGACGGGTCCCCAGAGGCTGGGCCATTGGCAGCCTCATCACTGGGCTGGCGCCCGCCATCACCCTTATATTCCACGGAGGCTGTCCTTTTAATGCTCCCAGGGATGGCTCTGGCCCCACTATCACTGCTCTGTGGTGACACCAGGCTGCTGAAGCTGGCGGCGCTAATGGAAGTGTTGGTGGGTGAATCGATGTAGATTTTGATCTGGGGCCGGGCAGCCCCATTGCGGATCCTCTGCCCAATCTCTTTGGCCCGTGCTTGGGTGTTGAAAACGTTGTTGAGCCTAGCAAGTGAGTCGGGGAGGAGGCAGAGATTGGCAGTGGCAAAACAGAAGCTTTTGCCAGCCCCTGTGCCCTTCCATTCGCTGAGCAGGGCTGCCCCGCCAACCTTGTCCTCCAGCCGTGAGTAGATGTAGTGCCTACGGGCAGACTGCAGGGGGGACCAGAAGAGGAACCCAAGAAAGGCGAAGGGCAGAGCAGCCACAAGCAGGGCCAGGTAGATGGGTGTGAAGAGGACAGTGCAGAAGAGCTGCAGGCAGCACGGGTCATCAGCCCTCTGGCGCTTCTCATAGGTGGTGGGTATGAAGGAGGCCAACAGTCGGTCCACCAGCCAGTAACATGGGAAGATGAGGGCCCAGGACACAGCGTGAAGAGCAGACAGACAGCTATTAGGAAAGGGGGTCGTGTGCAAAACCATCGCAGCTCACTGGGCGCTGCGGCCAGCCCTACTACATGGTGTCCGTGGCAGCCAGGGCACTTTTCTGGCAGGGGTGGGCAAGTTGGGGGGGCCGTTGAAGGATGAATCACCTCCTGTCAAGATTCAGCTCTGGATGGTTAGTGGTGAATGTTGGTCGGTAGGTCATGGTTCATCTCAGTAGGCCATGCAGAGCCTCCAAGGCTTGCTGAGAACCTGCAAAGACAGAAAGTGGGGCTGTTAGTGATCTTTCAGGGAGCATGCCAGAGCCTACAGGCTCATATGGGACATTTAGGGGCAAGAGAGGGCCCTGGTACATTCCATTTATCTGTATGTTTTGGGGGTTTTGTTGTTGTTGGTCATGGGGCTTGAACTCTAGGCCTAGGCACTGTCCCTGAGCTCTGCAGCTCAAGGCTAGTGCTCTACCACTTGAGCCATAGCACCACTTCTGGTGGTTTAGTAGGGATAAGAATCTCACAGACTTTTCCTGCCCAGGCTGGCTTTGAACCATGATCCTCAGATCTCAGCCTCCTCAGTACTAAGATTACAGGTGTGAGTTACCTGTGCCCAGCCTATCTATGTTTTATTCTCTTAAATGGCTTGATGACTGGATTGACCATCTTGACCTTGTAACCTAATTACTTAGAAATGACCTGGGTCAAGCCCGGTGTTGGTGGCTCACACCTATAATCCTAGCTACTCAGGAGACTGAGATCTAAGGATTGTAGTTCAAAGCCAGACCAGGCAGGAAAATTTGTGAAATTCTATGTCCAATCAACTACCAGTAAACCAGAAGTAGCACTGTGGCTCAATGGGCTAGAGTACTAGCCTTGAGCAAAAAAGCTCAGGGACAGTGCCCAGGCCCTGAGTTCAAGCCCAATAACCAACAACAACAAAAATGACCTAGGTCTTCCAGGGGCACAGCTTTGTGGGTACAGTGAGGACATGCAGGGGACCCCAGAGGATGCATTAGCTGAGACTGGAAGAAGTCTTTTAGGAGTTAGGGCAGGCAGAAAAGTTGCAAACACTGTCACTTGTCACTGAGGGCTGCCTAGATCAGGACTGCAGAAGGGGGCCAGAAGGTCCTGGGGCAGAGGGCAGTGTGGTTGGCGGGACCTGAGGCAGGGCAGCTCTACCCCTGTGCAACCATGCCTGCCCACAGCCTGGGTCAGGTGCTATGCTCTACCCTCAGCAGAACCGCAGCCAATGAGGACCCAGCATGGCCTAGGCATCATCAACTTCTACTTGCAAGGCCCTGCCAGTCCTTGAGATGGTTGGAAAAGCTCCTGGGGCCTGCATGGATCTGACCCAAACTTTATTCAACCTCTGCTGTCCTGTCCTACAAGATGCAACTCAGGCAAGGCCTGCAGCAACTGAATACATCCACTCTGGGTTCCTGTCCCAGACTCTTGGGAGGCTCTGAGTTTTGGAGCTGGCCCAGGGCCCTACCCAGCAGAGGCTGCTCGGTGCACTTGTTGTGCTATGTCACCAATAAAGACAAGAAGCTCAAGTTTACCTGGTCTCCAGGGACCCCCAGTGCTGCTTCAGAGTGAAACTTGTGGAGGCCTCACCTGGCTTTTTTTTTTTTTTTTTGGTTGGTCGTGGGGCCTGAACTCTGGGGGTGGGCACTGTCGCTCAGCTCTTCAGCTCAAGGCTAGCGCTCTGCCACTTGAGCCACAGCGCCACTTCCATCTTTTTCTGCTTATGTGGTGCTGAGGAATCCAAACCCAGGGCCTTATGATTGCAAGGCAAGCAGCTCTACCACTGAGCTACCTTCCCAGCCCCTCACCTGGCATTTTTATGACCAGATCAGCTGGAAGTCCTTCCTAGCCTGCCTCGACACTGGCACCTGAGTGGGTCTGGGCCTGTGGGGCCATCATTCATCCTGGCCCCTCTCTTCCTTTCTGAATCCTTGGTCACTCAAGCCAGAGGCCTGGGTATTATCTGGACTGCTCTTTCTCAGTCCACATGTTCCCATCTGTTCCTTCTGCCCATTAAGAATCCCCCCTCCCAATGTGGGCCTAGGGTTTCACCTTGCTGCTCCATCACCAGCCCCCACTCTCTACAGTAGCTGGAGGCTTCCACCTCCACAGATCTGTGGAGTTCTCACACTGGTATCTCCCAGCCCTCAGCCCCCTCTTCCTGCCTCACTCACTCTCGTTGAAGACTCAGTTTAGAGTTGGGCTTGGTAGTTTATATCATCCCAGAAGGATTATAAATTTGAGTCCATGCTGGGCTACATAGGGAGAACTTGTCTCAACAAAATGGGATGGGGGTGAGGTGGAGATGTGGCTCAGTGACAGAGCCCCAGGCTGGCAGTCACAGGTGCTCCAGAGCTGGGATGAATGAGTGGAGGTTGATCGGAGCTGCCCCTGGTGAAAGGCAGCTGTTTTCCCAGCTCAGTACCATGGTAGAAGGGGTTGTCTATGCAGCGAGTTGGTGGCCCAAGCACCTTGTAGCCTCCATCCCCATCTAAAGATGACCCTGAAGCTGATGGCTGTATCTGGTTCTGATCATCACTGTGCACAAGGGTTTTCCTTTCCTCAGGGGCAATCCGTTGGAAGTGAGCACAGGAAGGTCTCCATTCAGAGCTGCAGGTGTGTCCATGCAAACCGCAGACCACAGCTGGCTCTATGCCAGGTCTTTGGGAAATTTAGGAGCTGGGCTGTCTCATCAGATGACCAGAGCTAAGAGAGGCCAGTTTCTGCAAGAACAATGGTGGATGGGATGGGGTCTCCCAAGGCTCCTCTGCAGGGGTTGGACCTTGCTGCCCTCAAGGTAGTGCTGGCTTGGTTTTACAAGGTGGCTAAACCCCTGTGCTTTGACTATGGGCGGGTGTGGTCTCATCAAATGCTTCTGTGCCTGGTGCTGGTGGCTCATGCCTCTTATCCCAGCTATTCAGGAGGCTGAGATCTGAGGATTGCATTCAAAGCCAGCTGGGCCACAAAAGTCCTGTGAGAGTCTTTATCTCCAATAAACTACTCAGAAAAAGCTGGAAGTAGCACTGTGGCTCAAGTGGTAGAGTGCTAGCTTTGAACAAAAGAAGCTCAGGGACAGTATTCAGGCCCTGAGTTTAAGCCCCTGGACCAGCACAAAACAAAAACAAACAAAAAAAAGGATGTGGGAGGGTTTCTATGAGAAACCTTCTGTCAAGTGCATCTTGTCTCCAGCTCTTGGCCCAAGCTGGGGCTGCTATGACCTGAGACAGGGATTTGGGAGGGAGGGGGTAAGAAAAGAGAGACCCCCTTCTGCTGGCCTGTTCTCCCTCATTCTAGCTGTGACCCCAGAAATGCTTCTGAGCAACTCCCCTCCTGGCAGTGGCAATGAGTGGTCAGAGGTGTTTTTGTTATCATGTAGTGTTTAGCTAGGATTTGAGGTGGCTGACAGCCAGGAGCAAGTGACAGAAGTGCCACCACACTGATCCTCTAAATCAATGGAGCCCTGAGCCTCCTGGCCCTTTCTGCTTCCATGCCAGGCCCTTCATAGCTGGCCCTCCCCTGGTCCAAGCCCCCCTCACTAGGTTCTCCTCCTGCAGTGCTGTAGATAGGAGCTGTCCCAGGTGCTGCCACTGCCCCTGCCCCACACGGGGTCCCTGCATCTACACATAGAAGCTGAGCCATAGGAAACACAGAAGGACTGCCACTGATGAATGGGTTTCTAAAGCTCTGTGGTTAATTATTTTGTCTCAGGGAAATGAAAGGAGGGTAAACAAACAACACACATTAATTAGTCTGATCTACACTTTCCCCATGAAGGAGGAGTGCTGCAGTTACACATTAGAGGCTGGCAACTTCTAGAGAGTTCCCTTGTCCTCAGAGGTATGGCCACAGTAGGATGTGGCTTTCCTGGGCTGGCGGGACACAGGCCGGGGCTCAGCTGCTCCAGGCCTCTCTATCTTGCTGGTGCTGCTTTGGCAGGCTGGACATTGTGGGTGTGGCCTGCCCAGGCTCTGCCTCTGGGCGAGGAATCCCTTCTCCTCCATGCCCTGTTTTCTCCCATGCTCTTGGGCTGCTTTGCCCAGCAGAGCCCACCACAGGGCACCTCTGATGGAGTCAGCAGCTCCCTTCATCCAGACCCATGTGTTCTGAGCTTCTACAGCTCAGCCTCTTAGACTGGATTGTCCTTTAAGGTTCCTTATGTGAAGACCAACAGTCACCCCTAGGTTGATCCTCTTTGCAAGTCCTGGTATGTGGTTTCCAGGGTTACCCAAAGCCACCCTCCAAACACCACGGTCTCTAGGGCTGGGCTAGATTCCTAGATGCCCTTATATCCTCAGAGATCCTGGTATACCCCGGGGTTTACTCCAGAGCCTTGGGTCCAAGATGTAACACCAAGAGGTGTTATACAGTGATCCAGGCAGTGCTCCAAGAAGCCAGGCTCTTATGTTCTAGAAGCAGAGACCTGCCTTGCCTTCACCTGGGCTTTACGGCTCTGCCCTCAACCACTCAACTGCATGAGATCCTGGCACTTCTCATGAGGACTAGAGAGGACCATGGTGACCTTGCCAGCTCTACTTCCTTCCCTCCTCTTCACCCTTCCACTCTCTCCACAGGTTCATCCTCATATGCTTTTTCCTCTCTTCCAAGCCTGTGTTCTCTGCCCTGTTTGGAGGCTGATCTGAGCCCAGCCTCAAGATTCTAGGACTCTGACTCAGAATGCCTCCATGGTCCTCAGAGATGCCCCTACACTGTTTGGGCCAGAGCCATAGCCTTTGCTAACTTGTCTCTTTCCGCTGCAGTAGGAACTATACTGTGCCATATATCTAGGATAGATAGAGGGGCAGAGGGCCCTACAGTTCACAAGTTGATCTGGACAGGAGGGGTCATACCTAGAGATGTCTGGAAGTCCAGACAATTGAAAGACCATTTGGGAGAGGAGAAAGTGGACCATGGCCGGACCCCAGAGGTACTCGCCATTTCTAGGTATCCAGGGACATTGCCAGCAAGCAATTCCAATTCCAGTATGGCTGCTTCTACCAGCTCACCCGTCACCACTGAGACGCTTGCTAACTGAGACCTGCAGGCACCACAGCCTGGGAAAGGGGGGAAAGTGGCT